AAAGTTTTGTGGCAGGGGTGCTAGCACAGTCTCAGTAAGTCTCTAACTTGCCTGGGCAGGGTTGAAACTTGTGATGCTACTGCCTTAGCCTCCCATAGCACTGGGATTCCAGGCATCTGCCACCAAGCCTGGCTTCATAGTCTTTGGGCTGTGTTCAATCCTCTTGAAAGCTCTAGAGGCTCTGTCCTTGGCCTCATGGGGGATAACTGAGGACAGAAAACATTACCAGGCCTATCCTAATCGAAGACCACACAGAGCATGACACACCGTACCAGATCCTGAAGCCCTGTCCCCCTGGGTTGCCGAGTCCTCAACACACCTTGCATGTGAGTCCCCACGTCTAAGGGAAACACCCTCCACTCATCCAGCATGGTCTCACAGGGCGTATGACTGCCTTCACAACCTGGCCAGGGTCTCTTCTGTTTGTTTGTGCTAGGCCAAAGGCTGCTGCCCTATGGGACATTGTTGAGGGCTAGCTGAAGTAAGCGTCCCCATTGTGGATTGGCATAGGTCTCAAGCTCACCCCTCAGATCTGAAGACGGCTATAGCTGTTACACTGTCCACTTCCCGGGGCTGGCCCAGGAGGAGACAGAACAATCACCATTCATTGGCTCTTGGTTCTCTTGACAGTTTTAAACCATCTGGCTGGATCTCGAGGCCTTCCCCTCAGCCTCCCCGGTGTTTCTACGTGTCTCTGCAAGTCTCTGCGTAGGCGTCCTGGAGTCACCTTCCAGAGTGGCGGCGGCGGTTGTGGCAGCGGCAGCAGCAGCAGGCAGCTGGCAGCAGGGGAGGGTGGGCCTCAGATTCGGGAGGGGGTGATGTGCTTGCTGGCTGGACAAGAAAGCAGCGTGGACCTGCCTCAAGGCCACCCGTGCCTGGTCAGGCTGGCTTCTGATGTTCAGTCCCCTGGGCTGGGACACTTGTTTTTTAACATCTTGAAATTTAACTCTGTGCTTGTAGAAGACTGTAACCTTTTTGTCTTTTTTTTTTTTTTTTTTAACAAAAACAACCTCCACCTCCAGTGGCTGTGACTGGTCCCAGTGAGTGTACCTTACTGGTCGCTGTGGGTCTGGGCGGGCCTGGAGCCAGAAGGCGACTACTTTTGCTCCCCTGTGCCACCTAAGGTGGGGAGAGAGGGAGGTTTCAGACTCCGGTTTCTCTCCCTTGTCCTCTTATTCCCAAGCCTCTTTGGACTCAGTAGAAGTGGCAGGAAACCTTTGCCAGCTTCCTGAGCTCTGCCTGAAGATGGTTACCCAATGCTAGTTGTGGATAAGGGCTGAATCTGTGACTACCAGCCACCCCTAGGAGCTGGGCCCCAAAAGCAGGCCACCTCTTGCTGCAGGGCCATTCAATGCCTTCCCAGCTAGGAGGGGCACTGTCTCGCCTGTCTTGTTAATATAGTGCCTGTGCTAGAGGTTCGAGAGGTGAGTGTCCTCCAGGTTCCTGGCCGGGGCCTCTGCCACTGTGGCTCCTCTGCTCCCGTGCCCGCTGTCTCTTCTGATTCTGGTGGCTCCTCCCTCCCCTAATTAAAGTCTCTTCTTGCCCTTTGGGGCTGCATGAGGTCTGTAATCTGTGTGTATGAACCAAAAGGAGGTGGGCTGTTTCATCCAGAGGCCATGCAGCTGGTCCTTAGGTCTAGTTCTCCCCACAAGACAGACTTGGATCTTGGATCAATCTACTGGTATCCCAAGGAAAGTCCCAACCAACCCAGAGACCCATCCTCTGCAGTCCCAGCGCCATCACTTCTGGAAATGCTGTCTTTTCCTTCGGAGCTTTGGTGGTTTTACTATAATCTCATTCAGGCTGAAAGCTGATTTAACCTCAGAAACAATGATCTCATTTCATGTTTAAGGAAACAGGTTCTGGGAGATGGCATGGCTTGCTCTAGATCCTCCAGCCTCTGAGCAAAAGGGTAAACTGCCTGTGTTAAAGCAGCAATCACTTCCCCATGTGGCTAAATTATTACAGTTAAATAAAGTTTAAAATCTGGTTCCTCAGTCCCGCTGGTGGCATTTCAAGCGGTCAGTAGCTACAAGTGACTTGTACCTAACATCTCAAACAGCACATATTTCCTATTTCTGTCATCAGAGTTATTCTAGAAAGTGCTGGCCTTTTTATTGATGCCTTGAAGTAAACAGCTTGTGTCTGAGTCCTGACTGTTGTTGCTACATTTGGGCACATTTGTATTTTGTGCCTCAGTTTCTTAATCTATAAAGTAGAGATGATGAAAGTGGACCAACGGTCCCTGCCGCATGGGCACTGAGTGAACAGTGGCTAGTGGTTCTTCAGGCCAGTGTCCGGGCTGGTACCCCATGTTGTGCTAGGGGGTAGGGGTAGAAGAGGGAGGCATGTAAATAGGTGCAGTGGAGAATTTATTATAAAGTCACTACTAGAAATCGGGGTGGGGGAGGTGATGTATGAGAGGGTGGGTCAGGGAAACTTCAGAAAGGACCCGGCTTTGAGCTGAACTTTCCAAAAACTGTCCTCCTGATGACCCAAGAAATCTCTTAAAGGGGAGGACAAGTAATGGTAAAGGGAAGAGGGGTTGGGTTGGGGGCAGCCTGAACGACTATCACGCCCTTTATGACATTATCTCTGTGACCTCTGCCTGGCTGGCTGAGTTATACCTCCATGCAGGCACTTGAGTGTTAAAGGTGCTGGGAGTGAAGCTGGATGACCATGAGGACATGGCAGCTGGCCACTCAACCATCTCAGGACACCGCTGTCTGGGTGAGCCAGCCAGAACCCAATGGGCCACAAAGCTCTCTTCTGGGGTCCAAAGTTTCTAAAACCAGATTTGATGGTTTTGGTACCAGGGATCAAACTTGGGACCTTGTGCTTGTGAGGCAGGCGTGGTACCACTAAGCTAAATCTCCAGCTCTATTGCTTTTTGAGGCAGGGTCTCACTGTGCTGTTCAGGTTCCCCTTGAACTCACCAGGTAGCCCAGGCTGGCTTCAAATTTGCAGTAAATCTGCCTCGGCCTCCCTCAAGTGCTGGGATTACAGGTGTGTGCCACCATGCCCAGCCAATTTGATGATTTTAAAGCAGCTAGTTCTCTCCTGGGGGTATAGTTACCAGCCACACTGGTTGGAAAGGTAAATCTCTGGGGTCAGGTGGACAGGTGGTTGGGGTAGTTTCCACCTTGACTGGAGAGCAGATCTGCTCAGCGACTAACAAAGCTGGGTTCACAGCTAGTTTGCCTCTCAAACTGCCTGTTTAATGGCACACGATCAGGCAACCCATAAGTGATAACAGTACATGATGTATAGAGTGTTTAAATTGGCCATTGGGTCACACCTGTAATCCTAGCACTTGGGAGGCTGAGGCAGGAGGATCATTGAGTTTGACACCAGCTTGGGATACACTGTTCAAGACCAGCCTGAAATGCATGTTGAGACCCTGTCTCAAAAAGTTGAGAGACCAGGTGGGTTCCAGTGGTGCTTGTACTGTGTTTTGTGGCAAATTCACATCTTGGAGCCTTATCTCCCTATAATTTTTGAGGAAAATATGTTGCCACTGCCTCTAAAAAGATCCCTTCCCAGTCTAGGCCTGGGGGCTGGAGCACAGCTTCCAGTATATTACACCTCTAGACTCGGGCCCTTTCTTACTTGCAGGCTCCTGAGAGGGTTGTGCTTGGCACTGTGTTGCCCCACATATGGCCCAGGCTCTATCCCCAATACCCTCCCATCCCCACCAGGCTCCCCCACCTGCTGGCTGCCTTTTAGTTCCCTCAGGAAGAGTCTCCCCTCTTCAGAGGTGGATGTGAGACTTGCCCAAGCTTGTAGTGTGATTCATCCTGTACCTTTTGCTTCCCCAATCTCACTGTTCCTTTATCCCCTCCTCCTCCCATTTCTTTGTTTTTTTTGTTTGTTTGTTTGTTTGTGTTTTTTTTTAGCTTGGCTTCCCAGGATTCAGGAAAACTTGTTTCGCATCTTTATAGCCCTGGAGTTAGTCTCTTTTGTTCAGCTTGCCTGTCTTTGCTAGTTGACCTCGCTAAGTCTAAGGGCTTATTAGATTGGTTAATGAAACATGGATCAATGAAAATATTTTTACCTCTTACACTAGCGAATCTCCGCCCTTTCTCGGCTTCATTCATTCATCGTTACACCAGCAGCTATTTTATTTCTGATCTTGCTTCCCTTTCCCCGCGCCATAGGGGCTGTAAATTCGGTGAGTCAGGACGCCAGCACCTGGCCCACTCGACAGTACGGTACGGGGTCCACTAAATAGGATGGAACTCGAGTCCCAGGGTCGTTGCACATGAAAAACAACTCAGAGCGATCCTGACCCGATGCCTTGCGCGCCAGCCGGGTGCCGCGGGGAGCCCTCGCTCCTCTGTCCCAGGCTGCGGCCTCCGAACCGGCTGCCGGCTTCTAATTGTGCCAGAGGTGGTTTCCAAGGCGACGGCACGCAAGGGACGGGGTCTGGGACGCGCGGCTTGGGG